AAATCCCATAGGAAGCTCGCCTTGCTAGGCGGTCTTCAGTTCGAATAGTTCAAAATCTGTTCAATGTATCTTTCTCATTTCTCCACCCGATACATCCCTGCCTTCCTTCCTCTCCCCCAAGGACAAGCTCATGCCACATTTGCTCAAGCTCATAGATAGCTCGACAGCTCTTTGACCCGCCGTCCCCGTGCTAAGCGCCCCGGGGCATGGCAGCCGAACTCCACGTTCTTTCGTGTAAACCCTAGCGTTAGAACTCACGCGTCGCAGGACTAGAGCGCTACGGGGCCGCCTCCCACTTCGTCCGCCTCCTTTCTCGGCCTTTTTTCTCTTTTCTGTTTTTTTTTTTTTTTTTTGGAAGCAGTATCACGACTGTTTGTGCTTCTCCTTCCCCGTGAGAGATGGGGAGCATGCAATGCGTGCCAACCGTTTCAATTCCAGGGCTTCACTTGACGTAGCACTTTCCAGGATGTATGTGGCTGCACTTCGCTGCAGCAGCGGATGTATCTGAGGGCAATTGCGTTCAGAGCTTGGTACCTTTTTTCCCCTTTGTTTTTTTTTGTTTTTTTTGTTTTTTTTGTTTTCCCTTTTCAAGATTCTCGGCTGTTTGTGATTCTGCTCCCCGCCAGAGGTGGGGAGCATTCAACGAGATCTTTCCAGATGAATCTGGATGCACTTCTGCCCAGACCATTTTCATGTACATGAGTGGAAACAAGAAAACTATAGCCGCTTTACATTCCAGCTGCTGGCAGCAGGTCCAGAATAAGGGCGGTACTTGTGCCAAGCATCAAATGTCCCATGTTGGTTCCCGCCCCTGACAGGCTCGGCAAAAATCGGTGCGCAGGGCATATTCAGGCTCGGCTTCAATAGTTGGGCCAAGTACTGGTGGTTTAAGGAGAGGAGGAGGGGAACCAAGATCTCCTTACTTTTTAAAAATAATTTAAATGCTCAAAATTTCACCATCAACATGTTCAAATTAGGACGCAGGGCAGTGCTTTGGGCCCTCTGGCGACGGCGCTGTACCTACGAGATGGAAAGAGCAAGGCTAGAGGGCCCAGAATTCACAGACAGTATTCAGCAACAGAAATCACTGCGAAATGGGAGGCAGTCAAAGTCCAGACACAGACATTATTCACAAGACATGACATTCAACAAAAAATACAAAATTTCAGCTCGAGCTGGCTGGGAGGGGACAAAGGGGGAAGGATAGGGAGAGTGGAATGGAAAGGTGGACAGAAAACAGGGGAAGGCTTTGAAAGGGGCTACCGGCTACTGTTCAATGACTGGACAAAGATAGACACAGCGATCCCAATGAAACCCGCCCGAGAGTTCCCTGACCCCTTCCCCCCCCCTTCAAATTGCCTGGTAGACTTAGAATGGTATGGGAGGGATGGATGAAAGCAAGTGATAATGACTTCAAGAAGCAGGGTCAGGGGGCATGTCCAGTAGCCTCAGGTATCTCTGGTTTTAGGAGTATGGTAGGAGGAGGGAGGAACCAGCATGGGAATGTTAGCATTTGGCGCCGTTTTTAAGGTGAAGAGGTCCCTCCCTCGCCCCCAATCCCCTGCTCAGTCAATCCCCTGCATTCCAGGCCAATGAATGCTGGCAGGAATACTCTTCAGATTTGATCAGAAGTTATTGGGACGCTGGACCCGCTTTCCAGTAGGTGATGCTCCCCACCAATAGACGGAGCCGTCTCCTGGGTGGTAGTGGTGTTTGCTCTTATCAGCACCACTAACACTATGGGGGGCGTTTTTCTCAAAAGAAAAAAAAAAAAAAAAAAAAAAAAAAACCTAAATATATATATATATATATCGTCAAATAGATATATATATATATATATATGGGGATGTAGAGCACACAAAAATCTACCACCCCCTTTTTTTTTTTTTTTGATTATTCTTTGCCAGCGAAAAAAAAATTCGCGGGCCGCGTTGTACCCCGTTCTAACGCGGTATAACGCGGAGTTATAACGGAGGTTCAACGGTCGTTGAACCGTTCAACAGGAAACTACCGTTGAATCGAATTTCGGAAACATAGATCGAGACGCCTATCATCATCACCAGTTAGAACCCACCAGACCAACCAGTGACTCACGCCCTCTACTCTCCCACCACAGACCCTAGCTGTATTTTTAAGGCGGGGTACTTATCATCGAGACGTTTATCATCATTATCAGTTGATCATAACCTTCTCCCAACCTTTTTTTTTTTTTTCTTTTTTTCAAAAAAACAGCTGAGGCTGAGGCTGCTAGTGGTGTTGCTATGAACAGCCACCGCTGACAGCCCAGCTACTGGCTCCAGTCTATTGGTGGGGAGCTGCACCTGCTAGCGTCCCTCATACAAATGATAACTGATACATGATTCAAAGAAACAGGAAATATGGAGCTCCCCACCAATAGATGGAGCCTGCCTGGAGTGCTAGTGGTGTCTGCTGACACCAGCACCGTTATAAAAAAAAAACAAAAACAAAAAACAAAGAAAGAACTGCTGCCTCTTCAGCCAGAATTTGGCCGCCAGATACCCGTGGTATTGCTAGCAGTACTAACTCCTATGGGCTGCCATAAAGACTTCGGCGACACCAGTGGCAATTAAACCGTGGTCGTCAGGTGGTGTGCACAGTGGACCAGGGCAACACCATGAGGTCGGTGTACAACAAAATTAAAGGCGGGGAAGCAAATTGCTCAATCTGCACAAATCCACTCCCACTTATATGGCACGCCTGGGTCGGGTTATAAAGGTGGATTGGCTCAGTGCGCCGCAGCAGGCTCCGCACGTCCGCATCGCAGTATATGTCGTCGTCGTCTGTGATCGGAAAGGACGGAAGCGAGCTGCAACGCTCTGAGGCAAGGTCCACCCATCCGTCCGTCGAGACGAAACCTGACTCCATGCAAAGATCAACGAATGCCGCCGAAGAAGGATGCGCCCAGCTCTCTTTCTGTGTCTCTTCTTTGTATCATCAATCTCAACGCGGTGGTGGGCACCCATGGTGGATATAGAGGGGTCGGCCACTTCGCGAGGACGTGGGTGGCCGATCTCTCCGAAAGTATCCGCCCCCTCTTGGGGTCCCAACAGCTTCCCGAAGAGAGAGAGAGAGAGAGAGAGAGAGAGAGAGAGAGAGAGAGAGAGAGAGAGAGAGAGAGAGAGAGAGAGAGAGAGGAGGTTGGCGCGTATCACACACACTCGCGCAGTTAATCAAAAAGAAAGGGAGACAGGAAGGACCGACGCATTCATGCCCTCATGCAAGCAATCGACATCCGATACTTTCGCTCATCAGGCCCAGAGGCGCATACACACACGCACACCTATAGAGCCTTCAATGGAACATTCAACATCCATATTCAATGGAACATTCAACATCCATAGACTTTCATACCCGACATGCATAACAGATTACCCAACCTTTGGAGTCATGCACACATCACACGGGGACAAAGCAACAATGGAGAAAAAGCTTTGTCTTAAGGGCCCAGTCCACAATCCGTCAAACCATCGGCAACCATAGCCACAAGGCCCTGTGGCGGTCAGTGTCTGCTCTCGACCACCGCTCAGTCCCTCCGACTGCCTTACTCCAAGTCTGCCACTAACTCCGCCACCCACCGTCACTCCGCTCACCACGGGGCACGTCGAGCCTTTCCGGCGCCTTGGGCTTCGCGCGTAGCTTGCGCAGCTGGCAACCGAGATCAAAGAGAGTGAGAGGAAGGGATTGCAAGAATTTATAGCGCGGAAGGTGGCGGAGAGGCTGCGTGAAGCGCGGGGTGTAGATGGTCAGGACAAAAGAAGGGCAGACGTTCCAGAAGGGTCGACGGAGGCGAGTCAAATGTTCTGCGTGATTGGGGTGGTCATCCAAGTGGGGTGCGCTTCCCGCGGCCACCACATTGCCCCGACCATCCCAATCAGACAGCCAATCGTTCGCAGGGAAAGGAGAAGGAGGGGATCGGACTTCGCTTAGAGGGAAGACGAAGAGACATGCAGGAGGGAGCTGCCCAGAAAGAAGGGAAGATGGCGCGGGGATGCAGAGCGGGGGAACAGGTTTACGCGGCGTGCGAAAATTCAAAAATTGTCGCCCGCCCAAAAATTCAAAATTCCTACTCCCGCTAAGTCCGAACTGTTTCTTGAATTTCTTGGCGCGGCCACGAACCAGCCACGCAAGACCCGTATTACATTTTCTATTATGCCCCTCCTAAACAAAAGAAAGAAGACGATAAAGAAAGAAGAAAAATAAAGCACCGTTTTTCCCCGTTATCTTGAATCCGTACTTTGGGGTTCTACGTGGGATTTTCCCTTAGGGATATGGGAGACCGCCGAGTGCAGATCCAGGCTTATCACATCTGTGATGCGCAGGGGGTTCCGAAAAAATTGCAATCTTCCGGCTGTTGTATAGCCCTCCTAAATTCCTAATTACCTTGATGATCCCGGCGGCCACTTCATCGTCAACTGGCCGAGTTCATCACCTATTCTTCTTCGATGCCTCCCGCATCGCTATGGATCTCCCCTCCTATTGTACACCTGATCAGGCAGCCCCTTCATCGTCATTTGGCCCAATCAGCATATGACTATAGAAATTGTTTTTTTTTTTTTTTTGTTTTGTTTTTTTTTAATACACAGCACGTTTTGTCGTGCGATCTTTGTAATTAGAGACAAAAGAAGAAGAAGACAGGGGGAAAAAGGATCAGAAGGAATGGTCGATCTCGGGATTAAGAGGGGGAGGAAGAGGAGGAAGAAAGGCTGCCAGCTTAGGCGGAGTCGTGGGCGTCTCCACTTCGTTGAAGTGTTGTTGGACAAAGGAGGGATAGAGAAACGGCCCCGGTACATGTGCCAATACGTGTGGCGCTAGATCCGCAATAGCCTGTATTTCCCATCGCCGCACCGTGCAATTCCCGGAACCCGTCACCACCAAGTGGGTCTCAGTATACGGCCTCCGCTCCCTCTTGAGCACCGCGATCACCAGGAAATGGTACATTACATTCGGCCGCTGGTCGGCCTCGTAGATGAGTGTCCCGACAAGTCTGGCCACAACGTATCCCTCAAATGGCGGCTCCATATACGGCTCCCATGCAGGATCAGGACGCGGGGCCCCCTCGATCGCTTCGAGCCTGATGGTTGCAAGCTCCACCATGAACGCGACATCCGTCGGGTGGACCGTTCGACTCGGAGGAACTGCTAAGGTCAATGACCGGGGCACGCCTGGGTGGCTGGCGGAAGAGGAAAGGTCCTGCGAGGATCGGGAGTTCGGGTGCGGGATATGGTACTCTTCCCACTCCTCCTCCTGCTGGTGCTGATGGGCTGGCTCCATCAAGATTGAGGTCGGGAAGAAGCGATGGCTGAGGTGTCGGCTCCGGAGGGTTCCCGTGTATCCAAAATGTGCTTGTTGATGACCCTTCACCCAACGGAGGTCCCTCGATCGGTGTCGCTTTGCTCTCTGGAACGGGATCTGGCTTCCGCAGCCGCCCGGCTTGGTTCACCTCTTCTCCGGGTCCCACTCGGCTTCCTTGTGCTTCTGCCGATGGCTGGCGGTATCTCTTCTTGGGCGTCTTCCTTAGGGCCCTCGGGGCTACTGGCTTGGGGTAGGATGAGGGAGGCCGCAGCGACTTCCGATCGGCAATGCTCACCACCTTTTCCCCCTCCCGCGCGATATTGTCCAGTATCACTGCCACATGGTAAGATCGCCGTGGAGCCGATGCTGTTCGCAGGCGGAGTTGGAGATCCTCTTCTTCGCTGGCTATCACTTGCGCGATAGACAACAACTCGATATGAATGAGCTCCAATAGTTCCGGCCTGCTCGTCCCGATCTCCCGAAATGGGTATAATGCCATTGTGCCCTCCTTCTCGCGAGATGACGTAGTACACGGCAAGTTCTCGGCGATGTTGTGATCGTCATACGACACGACAAACCGGAACTTGCCCAGCATCACAGATTGATACAGCACGCGGTGCAATTCCCACGCGTCCTCCTCAACTTGCGGCAGCGGCTCCACGTCCTTCAGCTCCACCAGATACTCTGAAAAATTGCGCATGGGGAAGGGGTTCACCGTGAGTTGATAAGGGAGGGTGGTGTAAGAAAAGAAGGGAGGCATTTAGTATGAGGGAGGGGGAATGGCTTGGATGTTTAGAGGATCAGTGGGGGGGAGAAGCGCGGGCAACTAAGGCACAAGTGCCAGCAGTCCGTCCGACGTCCGTCGCAGCAACGTGTGATACGGTGTGAATCGATGGGCCCTTCCCTGCGCTCGCGCCACCAATCTCGCTGCCTGCACCGCGTACTCTCGCAAAAAGTTCCACACCGGTTCTCGGTGGTGGTCGTCCAAGAGTGTCAAATCGCCGATGAACGTGGCGACACTGTGCACGAAGTTGGCGGCCACCTGGAGTGCGTGGAACTCGATGAACACCCGGGTGGTTTCCCGACGAGGCAGCTGCATGACGTCCACGTACACCCCCGCGTAGGTTACTCGTTCACTCAAGAGCGAGTACGTGGTGAGATCTGCGATGCTGGACTCGGGCACGTTCACCTGCTGGACGTTGTACCACAACTACTGATCATCATTGAATCGATGCCGCCATAAGTGATCAGTGATCGGCGTTTGGAAATGCTCAACTGGCTCATTCCCCTCCTGTTGCTGGCTCATCTTCCGCGATCGAGTCCTCAACCTCAAACGGCGAAGTGGATTGGAAAGAGGAAGAAGAAGAAGCAAGTGAGGACGAGGAAGCAGAGGGAGAAGGCTGGGTCGGGGCCTGAGCCCACTCGTGATCCAGCGATGGCTGGAATGGGCGAAGGGCAGCAGTGTGGCGAGTCAGCGGCCAGGCCTGTGTGTTGTGCTGGGGGATCAACTTCACGGAGTGCTGGCCTTGCGTGCCAACTCCCGTCACCTCGTAAATGCCAGTATAGCGAGGATGGATCTTGAAGGAGCGTGCGGATTTCCATACCTGCACTAAATCCCCGATCTTATAGCGGGGCAGTGGACCAGCGGAGGCATGTCGGTTCTCGTAATCTGTGATCTGCTGCTGGTGCGTCAAATCCACGGCCCTCTGTTGCTTTCGGGCTAACGCGGGGTAGGTCCTAGCCATCAGATCCATGTAATGCTGGACCTTTTCTCGGTGTTGGGCTCGGGTCGCTCTAACTTTCGTACCCACTAGGGGTAACAACTGCACCCGGGGGATACTATTGGTTCTTAGTTGAAATGGGGACACCCTTGTACTCCCATGTGGGGTAGCCTGATAGACGGCCAGTATGTGGTCGACAATGACAGGCCAAGGCCTGGTATCTCCTGCAGTGATGTTCCATTTAAGGGCGGTCTTAATCATTCGATTGGCGTTTTCCACGAGCCCGTTGGTCTGTGGTCAGTGCCCTGGTGAGTACAAAATCTTAACGTCGGTCCTTACGAGATGTCGCTCTACCTCCCCTTGGAATTCCGACCCGTTATCCATGTGGACCTTTTCTACGTCCAAATGCATGCACAAAAAACGATTAATATACCATGCTACTTCCTGCGAGTTCCGACTAGGCATAGGATAGGCCTCGATCCATTTAGAGAAATGATCGACGACCACTAAAAGGACATTGAGCTCGCCCTGATCGAAGGGACCTTTTGGTGCATTGATATCCATCGTATCTATGCTAACTCGTTGGAAGGGTCGTTCTACTCTAGTCGGTACCATCGTTCGTGGCATCTGTACCAGCACCTTATCAACCGCACAGGCCGGGCAGTTCTGGACGATGTATCTGACATCCTCCCAAATTCCCGACCAATACCATCCGTTTTTCTCTATAGCTTTTTTCGTGTATTTGACCGTGAAATGGACCGCATCCTCTTAGTGGGCAGCTCGTGTCCAATCGAACCTAGCGAGAGGGTGTGGAACCATCAACCAACTAGACCCGCTATCATTATTGTCTTTCCATTTTTGCAAGACTGATTCCTGCCAGCGATAATCATGAGCTCGCTCAGTGACTTGCCGACGTTCTGCCTTGGTAAGCTCCATCAGTGAGTCTCCCTTGAGTCTTCTCAATAGGAGGAGATCCGTCCAGACCGCTACTCTACGGAAACTTGGCAAGAATCCGTTTTTTGTCCTAGCAGATACATACCGTTTCTCGGTAGGTATCTGGTCCGTTCGGCAGTTGGGACAATTCCACTTCTTTTCGTTCCGAGAACTAACACAATATATGTGGGACCAGACCATGCAACACTAGCTGCATCGTACCCACGAGATAAGACTAGGTCCTCCGGGGTGTGCGTCCCCCCTGTCCGGTATCCTAGGCAAGGTGCAAAGAAAGCAGGAACGCAGGGATAGGCTAGTGGGAGAGTGAGGGATAGACGGGTAGGTCGAGGAGCCTGGGGAAGATGACGAGGTAGCTCTCACTTCAAGAGGGGTCACCATCTTGCGCCCAAGTGCTTCCCTTGCGGATGACGTGTACTTCTCCGCGAGGCTCCGTCAGAGGCGAAGCTTCCTTCCACAGAATGAGTCGTTCGTTCGTTGGGCACTTCTTTGGTGGCTGAAGGCGAGTTTGTCCGTCTGCATTTCCGTGCTCCTTGGTCGCGTGGTGGCGGATGTCGAAATCGTAGTCATGCAACCATACCGCCCACCTTCCCAAGGTTCCCATATAATCTGTGTTGTTCTGTAAGGACAACAACGATTGATGATCCGCCACGAGAACGAACTTCTGGCCATGGAGATACGGTCGAAAGTGCTTCTACATACCGTTTTTCTGTAGGTATCTGGTCCGTTCAACAGTTGGGACAGTTCCACTTCTTCTCGTTCAGATACCTAACACAATATTTGTGGGACCAGACCATGCAACACTGGCTGCATCGTACCCACGAGATAAAACTAGGTCCTCCGGGGTGTGCATCCCACCTGTCCGGTATCATAGGCAAGGTGCAGAAAAAGCAGGAACGCAGGGATAGGCTTGGGGGAGAGTGAGGGATAGACGGGTAGGTCGAGGAGCCTGGGGAAGATGGCGGGGGAGCTGTCGCTTCAAGAGGGGTTGCCATCTCGCGCCCAAGTGCTTCCCTTGCGGATGACGTGTACTTCTCCGTAGCGAGGCTCCGTCAGGGCGAAGCTTCCTTCCACAGAATGAGCCGTTCGTTCGTTGGGCACTTCTTCGGTGGTTGAAGGCGAGTCAGTCCGTCTGCATTTCTGTGTTGCTTGGTCGCGTGGTGGCGGATGTTGAAATCGTAGTCTTGCAACCATATTGCCCACCTTCCCAAGGTTCCCATATAATCTGTGTTGTTCTGTAAGGACAACAACGGCTGATGATCCGTCATGAGAACGAACTTCTGGCCGTGGAGATATCATATATGGTCAAAAGTGCTTCTACATACCGTTTTTCTGTAGGTATCTGGTTCGTTCGGTAGTTGGGACAGTTCCACTTCTTCTCGTTCCAATACCTAATGCAATATCTGTGGGACCAGACCATGCAACACTGGCTGCATCGTACCCACGAGATAAAACTAGCTTCTCCGGGGTGTGAGTCCCCCTTGTCCGGTAACATAGGCAAGGTGCAGATTAAGCAGGAACATAGGGATAGGCTAGGGGGAGAGTGAGGGATAGACGGGTAGGTTGAGGAACATGGGGAAGATGACGGGGTAGCTGTCGCTTCAAGAGGGGTCACCATCTCGTGCCCAAGTGCTTCCCTTGCGGATGACGTGTACTTCTCCGTAGCGAGGCTCCGTCAGGGGCGAAACTTCCTTCCACAGAATGAGTCGTTCGTTCGTTGGGCACTTCTTTGCTGGCTGAAGGCGAGTTAGTCCGTCTGCGTTTTTGTGCTGCTTGGTCGTGAAGTGGCGGATGTCGAAATCGTAGTCTTGCAACCATACTTCCCACCTTCCCAAGGTTCTCATATAATCCGTGTTGTTCCGTAAGGACAACAACGACTGATGATCCGTCACGAGAACAAACTTCTGGCCGTGGAGATACGGTCGAAAGTGCTGGATTCCCACACCACCGCCAAACATTCACCCTTGCAGGCTTCGTAATTCGCTTGTGCCTGGCTCAGTGTCTTCGACGCGTATTCGATAACGTGCTCCTTCCCACCTGCTCCCTGCTGAGTTAGCACTGCCGATATTGTCTGCGGCTTCCAATTGGTGTGCGGAGTGAACAGTTTCGTTGGATCTGGGTGCGCCAGGATCGACGCAGTAGTCAAGGCCTTTTTTAGCGCCCGAAAAGCCACCTCGCACTCCGGCGTCCAGATCAGCTGTTCTTCTTTCTTCAGGAAGTTGGTCAGAGGCTTGGCGACACGAGCAAACCCTTGGGTGAACCGTTGATAATATGAGGCCAGGCCGAGGAAGGCTAGAACTCGAGTGAGCGTGACAGGCACCGGTGCTTCTTGCACTGCCGCCACTTTCCGTGGATTCGGTTTCAAGTCATCCACCGTGACGATGTACCCCAAGAAGGAGATTTGCGAGAGGAAAAACTCGCTTTTCTCCAAGGTTACTTTGAACCCCACATTTTTCAATGCATGCAAGACCCACTCGACATGTTCCACATGGTACTCGTATGTTTTGGAAAAAAACAATATATCATCCATATACACAATCACACAAAAATTTACCATTGGTTGGGTCAGGCGGGTTTTGTTAACGAATTTTGCGAAAGCCATATTGATTGTTCGCTGGAACATCGCGGGTGCGTTGCATATTCCCATAGGACATCTAACCCACTGTCACGTGCCCTCGAACAAGACAAATGTCGCTTTGGGTCTGTCTTCCGGTCGTACTGCGACATGGTGGAACCGTGTCTTGTATCAAATTTCAAGAAAACCCGCGCAGAGCTGATGGCATCCAGAAGGTCGTCGATATGGGGCAACGGATAAACATCCTTGATGGTTATTGCATTTAATTTTTGGTATTCAACGCAAACGCGGACCGTCCTGTTTCGTTTCGGCACGAGGACCACCGAGAACGATCAGGGACCCAGGAAGGGTTCCACCCACCCTAGACGCTCGAACTCCCGTACTCTTTCCAGGGTTAGTCGTCGTTCTTCTAATGAGTATTAGTATGGTCGACAATGTATTGGGGCATGGTCCCCGGTATCAATCACGTGCCTTATCAGGTGCGTCAGTCCTATATCATGGTCTTGAATATTGACCGCCTCGGGGTAAGCCTGTATTACCGCAAGAAGGAGGTGTCGATATTCGTTGGGTACATAAGCAGGAATC